TAATGTCGATAAAAGCACAAAATAAATTTCTTTAAGCTGAAATGGGGTAAGTAGTAGAGTGAGCTTTGGGAAATCTCAGTAATACAAAACTATCAAAAGAAGCTAAAGGACTAACATATATATTGTAATGCATGAAAATTTCCTTAGTGATACATGTATCTACAAGCCCCATAAAAGTCTTGAAATTTTATTAATTGATCCTCACAGTAATAGTTAGAAAGTATCCAGATCAGAAGATGTTAGATAAAGATAAATCTTAGAGATTAATTTGAATAGCTTAGTGTTTCCATTGGTACAGAGAAAATATGCACATATAATTCCATATTGTAATAATTTATTTTAGTAAAACAATCTTTTAAAGAAAATGTAAATTTTAGTTTAAAAATCATTTAAATGACCTCTATTTGAAAACCAAAATGTGTAGGTTCCCCAAACCATACACCTATATGTACACCTGGTAAAGTCCTTATACTTATAGCATAAGGGTCTGCGGTAAAGACATACCCTGTGCATGAAACAGAGGAGCTGTAGTAAGGACTTACCCTGTACAAAAAGTAGAGGAGTCTATGGTAAGGACCTACCCTGTACACAAAGTATAGGAGTCTATGGTAAGAATTTACCCTATGTACAAAGAATAGGAGCTTTTGGTATGGTCTTACAAGTTATAGACTATGTCTAAGACACTTCCTCCAATAATAACCAACCATAACATAGTAAAATAGTAATATTAGAAAATCATGATCCAGATGTATTTGAATCAGAAAATAGAAATAAGAGATTGTGTTTTTATTTCATATAACAGAGTCATACGTTTAAAATCAGGGAAACAATCTCGTTTTTAAATTAGAGAAAATAAACGAGTTAGCATGGAACACACTAAAGGGCCTAACTTATTTCTCAAGAGTACTTGATAGTTATAAGAAAATGAAAGGTTGAACTTTAGATAGATTTAAAACTGATTACATGAATGATATTTTAATCAAAGGGCTCGATAGCTAAGAGATCACAATAGAAATTTGAGAATTGATACATCAAGACCATTTAGGATTCGAATACATTAGAAGAGTATTCAGGAACTGTGACATCAGGGCTATTCAATATTTTATATTTATCAGAAAAGATTCCAATATTCATGCATGTATGGCATTTTAGTCACTTTGATTCTCAAAGAAACTTTGGTAAATGACTTAATAAGGATAAATGATAATTTGCAGTATTCGAGATTTCTAATGACTTAATTGACTCCCAAGTACAATCGAACTACATAGATCTCTTCATTGTGGTATTTACCAAGAACTCTAATAGGAATACTTCATGAATGTTGATTCCTTAATACCAACTGCCATTTGCAAGTGAACAATTTATCTTCTTAGATTCCTTGCATGGATCCCAATTAGATGGATGTGTATTCGCACAATATTTATTATTATTTTTATTATCATATTGTAAGGGTATTAGGAATTGCTTACATACTTGGGTCCTACTCCATAATTCTTATGGCCATTACAACATTTAAAACTTTACCGATATTTTCAAAACTTATCCAAAGTAATTTACTTAATCCAGGTTATGAGGATATTAGGTCATTCCATAACTCAAGGGTATTTGAGTTTTTTAAATCTTTGCGGTATTCAATCATTTTAATTCTCGAGGGAATTTCGATCATTTTAATCAATTCAGTCATATAAATACTCTTGATAAAAAAAAGTCTTCAGATGTTGCTCAATAATTAGAAATTTTAGAACATGAACCTTCTCAAAGGTTTAAAAATGATTCTCATAAATTTTCCAAACAAATCAGAAATTTAACAAGTAAATTTATAGTTCTATTGGGCCAAATCATAATTCTCGGGTTAATTCCATTATTAGAGGCAATCCATGTCCTTTTTAAACTTAAAAGTATTTTCTTCATTTCTCATCCAAATTTATAGTAAAAACTCTTAACAGAAAAAATCAGAATTTATGGTTCATATGTTAACTTTACTCAACTTAAAATTTTATATTCTTCCTTTATTTCCATTTTACAGATCATACGAATATTAATCAGTTTACTAAAATTATACCAAAATCAGAGTAGGTTTAGAATAATCTACCATAACACATATCCAACTAACATTCATTCATGCACTAACATATTACCAACATGTACCGTAAAGCATGCATAGCATAGTAAAGTATTATCTCGATCTCTATGCTACATCAGTCGGTCATTCAACACCACTCGATTAGTCTTGAACTTGAATTTGACATCCCATAATAACTCGGATACATGGCAAAAAGAATTCCATCAGAAATGAAGTTTAAACACAAAAATCTGATGAATCGAAAAATAAAATGCCAAAAATGAGTTTACCGAGTTCGAATTTGGCAAGACAAACCCAAAAAATGACTCAAAATGTCAAAAAAACATCAGGTTAGGTGGTCTCGAAAAAACCAGCAGTCGTTAATGACGTTCAATAATAATCAATAGGTCAACGACAGTCAACAGGTCAACGACAGTCAACGGGTCAACGGAGGCTTAGCTCGGCTCAAAGGCTCTACTTGACTCAACGACTCGGCTCAAATTGGTTGAACCACTTCAGATCGATCTAATCAGTTCACCAGACTCTCTAGGCGGTGGACAAAACCCACGCGTAGGGGTGGCGCATGGGGCAAGTGCGACGGTGACGGTCGTCAAAAAATTTACGGAAAATTTTCTAAAATTATTTGAAGGGGTTTTGAGACACTTACCCAACTTATCGAAAATTTGTTCTTCCTCAACCCTCCACATGCCAGGGATGGTGGCAAATCCAAGGACACAAGTCGCTCCCCTCAACGTTAGGAACGTAGTGGTGTTGACGATGTCATGAATCGATTCTCGGACGATAATGAAATTCCATTTAAAAATTGTTGGAGAAAGTTTCTAAAAAATGGAACTTAGAAGATAGAGAGATTTGAACTTTCTAGAAATGAGAAGTTTTTGGTTTTGAGGGTTTTTAAACCCAACATTTTTTTAAATGGCAAAATAATGTCATAGGTCCATGAGCTTTTGTTGCTTTCTAAATTTGGATTTAAATTTAATTAAATATTCATTTTGATCCCTAACTTTAACCAAATTTTCAATTTAATCCCCATAATCAATTCTAAGAAGAAAATGATTCCCTAAATTAGGGTGTGACAAAGTGATAATCTCATATTATAGATTAAGATTAAAAGAGCGAATAACTAATGACTATAAGTTCATAATATGTTGACATGAGGAAATAAAGAATATAATAGAGTAGATGTGTAACACTAATCTTTGTTAGCTCATCATTTAGATTTTTCTATTTGTAGGTTACATGTAACATCCTTGACCGATTTATTTGAAACTTAGATAAAAAAAAATATAATGGAAAAATGAAATGAAAATCAAATTCATAAAGTCATACTTCAAACATATATATGTCATATAAAAATACAAAGCTTAAACTTTAATTAATCACCATTAATAACCACTTTCAAAGATGAATGTTGATTAGAGACCAAAACATAATTTTTCAAAATTTTAATAATTAATATGTAATTAAATAATAGTTGATGGATTAAATTATAACTTCATAAAAAATCTAATTTATTTAGGACGATTAATCATTTTGAGTCATAAAAACCATTTGTTACTCGTTCAGAGATCATATTCATCAAATTAATTCACTTAATATAATTGGGGACTGATTAAAAACTTATACTCGCTCCATCTCATAATCCGTGTCTTATATTAACTATTGTTAGGCTCGATCGATCAATCGAAAACCTTCAAGAGGAGTGAATTGGACTTTAAAAATCTTTGGTACGGAAGCAATAAAAGATATGAATTAGACACGAGATTTATAGTGGTTCAACTTTATCACTTAAAGTCCACATTCATTACCTTAGCTTCACACTAAGGACTTTCTAACAAATTTACTAACTTGTTCTTTTTTTTTAGGACAAAGAGTAACCTTTACAACTTTAGTTTTTCTTAGGCTCAACTAAAATCCTTCCCCTTTTACAAAGTTTGATTTAGGTAAACAAGAATACCTCACAAGGTAGGTTTTTACAAAGATGAAGCTCACAAATAATGAATACAAAATATATTTAATGAAACTTTATACACTTATGTACAAGAGAAAAATGAAGGAAATAAAAATGAAAACTATTTTCCCTTGAACTCTAAGCTTGAATAAGTGTAGTAACATTCTTCAAGTGTCTTTGAAAGTGTTTTTATTGTGTGGAATGGGTTTTTAGGCGTTTATGACTATTGGGGATGAGTTATAATTGTTGGAAGCTTTAAAATCGTGCAATTAAGGCCACATGTACATGAAGTTTCGAAACTTTCCAAAAGTTTCAAAAACTCTTAAACTCAATGGAATTGAAATTTTCAAAACTTTGGTAAAAATTTCGGAACTCTTATTTAAAAATATGGCCATTGATGAAAATTAGGTCGTTAAAACTGTTTCAGGAGGTAAAGTTTCGAAACTTTATCAAAAGTTTCAAAACTATGAAAATTACCAAATAGTGAATAAATAGTATTTTTTATATTTTAAAAACTTAAAACATATTTTAATTAACTCAAAAATATTTCATATATATATATATATAACAATTTAGAACACATATTTTTCAAGTTATTTTAGACTTTGAATTATTTTTAAAATATTTGATTAATTCCAAAATCAATTTTACAAATATTTATTATATCAAAATATAAGTTCAACAACTATGCGCATAGTTTTAGGAGATAAATTTTACCAAAGGAAAATGAAAAAATTATCCCCAATAGCTTATTGATAGATTTCATATTTTTTTATAGATGTAAAAGAGTGATACATAAGTGTAAAAAAAATGTAAGTACTATTTATTGATTTTTTTAATAGGACATTTAAATGTGATAATTTTACAAACTAAAAAAATATTTAGTGGACATAAGAAGTAACAAAATTTAGATTTTTAAATGAATATTTATCATTTTTATATTTCACTAAGTCTAAATTTACCATTTTATTTCCAAAAAAGTCACTCAAATAGTTGCAGATCTAAAAAAAAAATTCCAACCACCTAGGATTAAAAACCATCTAACACTGTCATTGATCGTTTGATGGGGATAATCTCACGATATGTTGTTTGCCTCGGTGTATTGAGGATCGTTTCGATAGGGTCTATCATCCGTTGTCCAGATCGTCGGAACTAAGAGCCTATGTCGTCGTTAACCATTTCTTTAATTTTTCTTTGGTTCGTTGTTGGTTGCTATGATGCACGGGGACGGCAGAGGAAGGGCGTTTCAAGTACCTGAAACGTTCTTGGCACGGTGACGTAAGGGGACGGTCGGGGTACGTACGGAGACGTGCCACGGTGGTAGGATACGGCCGAACGATACGGGGACGTTTCGGTGCTCACTGGGGACGTTTCGGTCCTCTGGAAATAGCTATTGACGACGTAGATACAGTGATCTTTCACCGTGTCCGGGTTAAAGCAACCACTTTTTTGGAGAATCACAGAACAATCAGCTTCAGCTTCACACGCGTAATCCAGTGTTTTCTGAAGCATTTGATCATCAACTCCATCTTTACATAAACAATAAGTAACATCTAAACAAAAACCCCAAGCAAAAAATCGATCATTAAAATGCCATCTCTGAGTTTTCCCGGAAATCTTTAACAGGAAAATCCAAAGAACTTACTTGAACGGCCAGTCATGGCCAAGAACAGCAGCAGACTAATTAAAAGGGCCACGACTTGTGCAAGATTCTGAGGAAATTAGAGAAACCAAAGATAGCTGCAGGAAAGAAGAAACAGAGCAAATGGAGAAGTGTGGACAAATACTAAGGGAGGAAGACGGTGGGTAAATAAGCAATAATGTTGTCCAAATTTCGAGGTTCGAGCAGTTAGCAGCATACCCCACTCATGCATTTGACACTTTACAAGCAATGAAACACTCCCAGAAACAAACACATGCAAACACGTGCACCGAGCTGTACACCGTCTGATTCAAAATGCCAACACATGGTCAACAGACATCAGAAGTAGATCATTAATGGTTCCATCAGATGGAACTGGCTCCACTTTGAGCAAGTTAAATCCAACACTACTAATGCTAGAGCCACAAAAAAATCCTTTTTTTCCAAGCAAACATGATCCACGCCTAAATAATATATATGGTTAGTATTTGTCTATTTGATACATTATTAGTGGAATAATTTTTTAATTATTTGTTTATATTTAATTTATTAATCGATTAATTTAAATAGAATGTTACAAAAATTTATTGTCAAAGTGACTCTTTCAACCTAGTACACTTCATTTCTAACGTTAAAATTTAAACTTTTAATCTTATTTGAATCATCTACTAGTCTCGAGTGTTATGGGAAAATGAGAAACTGAGCAATGTCTTAAGATAAGTGTCCTGTTTATTTGTAATTGTCCTGTATATATATATATATATATATATAATATGCATATATATATATATATATATATATATATATATAATATTCTCAAACGATCGTAAACTCGAGTGATGGGTTAACACTTAACCTGGTTTAGGTTAATAAGAATAAGTGTTGTCGTTGTGAAGATGAAGCAAGAGGCTGAGGGTTCTACATTTGGGACCCTTTTACAGATCCTTTATCTGTGCTGTCACCGTCACCACTCAACACTATTTGGTATTCTTCCCTTTTTGGGGTTTATTTATTTGATGAGAAATAAATATTAGATTATCAACAATTATTTTAAAACATAAAAAATAAGGGTAAATTATAAATTTGATAGATGTATTTTACTCTCTCTCATATTTCACTCATTGTATTTTAAGGGGTTGTTTGTTTGTCTCTTAATGGAATCATTCAGCGCTTAATGCTGAACCGTTTAGCATTTAGTGAGTTTGTTTTGCACTTCTGAATGATTCAGTGCTGACTGATTCAGCAAAACAGTGCTGACTGATTCAGCAAAACAGTGCTAACTGATTCAGAGCCGTTATTAAACAACATGTCACATTCAGAGCTAATTCATACAGAGCCTCTGAATCATTCAACATTTGAATCATTCAGCACTTAATCATTCTGAAGTAAACAAACAGCCCCTAAATCTTTTAAGTTTTCTCACTTAATGTATTACATTTAGTGATTTTTGTCATTCGACCATTAAATAGTTAACGACATGTAATATTTTTCTATACTTAATATTATGGTTTCAGTCTTAAGATTTGACACTTTAATATTATAGTTTGATTATGGATTTTATTATTTTAGAGTTAATATTATGGTTTGAATCTTGAGATTTGACATTTTAATATTGTGATTTGTTTATAGATTTTATTGTTCTAAACTTAATATTGTGGTTTGAGTATTGATATTTGATTTTATTTATAATTTTTTACATCTATTTATAATTTTAAAATTATTTTATATGACGTACCCGTGACGTCCACGTACCCTGTAATTTTAGAAATTATCGTTTCTCGTCCCTGACCTTGTCCCCGTATTCGTATGAGTGCAACATAGGTTGGTTGCTTGATTGGGATGTCGTTTCTTCCTTTTTGTAGGCTGTCACCAATCACATGGAGAGGTGGCTAGTGCTATCGTTGGCATTGGTCGTTAGTGTGCTCATGGGTTAGACTGTGGAGTGGATCGACTGATATGAATGCTAGGAGTAATGAACCATACGATTTGGTACTCACCGATTCTCTATTTCGGTGAACCAATATGACTGGAAAAAAAAGATGGGTAAAAGGTTGATGGATGGGTTTAGGTTCCAATTCTTAAACCCTAAAATCATAGTATTTCAAACCCTGATATTTTAACATAATTGAACTCCCACCCTAAAAAACTTGGATATAAGGACAACCATTTTAATAATAATAATAATATAATTTTAAGGTTTAATATAAAAATAACTGTCTAAACTATATTCAAAATTGACTTTTGGTGTCTAAATAAGTTTTTGTTAAAAATATACGTCTAATGTTTTCTTCGTTACACTTGTAGGTGTCTACCATTAATAAAAACATTTAGAGACTTTCATACATTTACGAGATTTGGGGTGCTTGGTCAAAACTATGAACGGTGAAAAGCATTATTTCGAGAAGACGAACAACATAACTCAAAACTAACCTAATCAAATAGTCATTGAAAGAGATAATATACTACTATGTCAAGCATTTAAATGATTTTTTTGTCAATTTTGAGTGAGCTTTGTAGAAAATCAATTGTAAGAGAAGAAAAATGGGTGAGATGCAAACGTTCAATGAAAAAATCGATGCACTCCTAAAATTTAGTGCCTAAAAATAGGTTATTTTGGACATTAACAATTTTCACAAAAACGACATCATTTTGATGTGGTAGGTCACCTCAATAATCGTTAGCCATGTCAATAACCAATTACAGCTCATCACCGATCATCATTTATGACAAAATCGGTACCAAAATGTTTAAATTTCACTATTCATTATTCTCATAGGATTATTTTTCCACGAAACCCACTCAAAATCAGTGAAATGAAACAAAAAAATCTATTATTTTTCAATGTTTGGAGACCTTCTTACATTACGAGATTTGGTGTGTTTGTTAAAAAAATATGAACAGTGAGAAATATTATTTTGAAAAGGTGAACAACATATCTCAAAACTAGCCTCATCAAATAGTTATTGAAAACGATCAAAGTATTAATATGTTGAACTTTTAAATTATTTTTTTCAATTTTGAGTATTTTTTAGAAATTTAATCCTAAGAAAATAAAAATGAGTGAAACATAAACATTTTGGTATCAATACTGTCACGAAATATGACTAGAGACAACACTGATTAACTATTAGCGGCAAACAAAAAAATGCAATGTTTAATATGAACTATTTAAAAGTTGAGTGGAAAAATCGATGCACCCTTAAATTTAGTGTCTAAGAAGATATTGTTTTGGATATTAGTACTCTTCGCCAAAACGACGTCATTTTGATGTAGCATGTCACTTCAATAATCGTTAGTCATGTCATTGTCTTATTACTGACTTAATTAAGAAGTGACATAATTGAATGTAAAATTAAAATTCAATGTTATAATTGATAAAATTAAAAGTTCAATGGTATAAATGAGTCAGAGAATGAAGTTTAGTGCTATCTAAAGTAGTTTATCCTAAAATAATTTTACGAATTATTTGATACCATATTTAGAAATTTAGATTTCATAAAAAAATCAATTGAATATTTTTTAACTTCAAAAATCATTAAGTATAAACTAAAATAATAATTAATTGATAAAATCATATTAGATTGGTGAGATTCCTATTTTAAAATTCAAGGTGAAACAAGATGCGAACTTCTTAAGTTTCAATTAATCCATAAAAATATTATGTTCAAGTATTGATGATATAATTTTATGATAATGAAATCATGTTTAGTATACATACATATATGATATAAAATTGTATGATATCTTTAGTGATGATTGATATGTATATGACATTAAAAATATATTTACTTTATAAATCTGATTATATAAATTTGATTAATTTGCTTTTATTATGATAATGAAATCATGTTTAGTATACATACATATATGATATAAAATTGTATGATATCTTTAGTGATGATTGATATGTATATGACATTAAAAATATATTTACTTTATAAATCTGATTATATAAATTTGATTAATTTGCTTTTATCCTTATATGTTACATGTATATATGATCTACACTATATGTCTTTTAGAATATTTTTAAATTATATATTTTAATAATATATTATTTATTATTTTATAGCTTACAATATATTTTTAATATTTAGTATTTAAAAAATTATTTTAGGAATTTAATTTTCAATATTTTTATATTTTTTTAAATATCTGAATATTTTTATATTTTAAATTTATTTTTTATTTTTTAAAACATAAATAAGTCCTTAAATTTTTAGAAAATCAATTTCATCTTCGAAGTAAAAAAAAATTTAATCCCTCTATCGCATCATCATCCAGTGTGAATTCTCATTAGGGGTGCTTATCGAGCAAATCGATCGCGAATTGGGCAGTGTTCAACTCGTTCTCTTTAAAATATTTTGTTGCTCGACTTGACTCGTTGTTCGTTAAGCTCGTTAAAATTTTTCTCGACTCGTGTTCGTTAAAAAACTTGTTTCTCATTAAGCTCATTGTTCGTTAAGCTCACTGAAATTTTATCTTATTTTCTTAATTATAATAAAATCTAATAATATTATATATAGCTTAATATAAATATAAATTTAACTAAAAAAATATTAAAATATTGTATGAAGCAATTTCAAAGTCTGAAATCTAAAGTAACCATTCATAAATATATTAAAATAATAAATATGGTTTGATTTTGGGTGTAGTAAAATATTATTATTATTATAGAAAATTAATAGATTAGCAATTTATCTTTTTTATTATCTATTAGTAAATTAGTATAAAATAAATTTTTAGAATAACTACTAAAATATGATATAAAAAATTAATGAGTTGCTAGCAAACTTATCGAGAAGTGTTGGAACTTGCTTAAATTAACTCGTTAAGTTATTAAGTCTAGCTCGAGTTCGAATCGAGTCAACCCGAGTTGGGTTTTTACCGAGCATTGAATAATTGAGTTCGAGTTGCTCATGAGCTGGTCAACTCATTAAGCACTCCTAGTCATCATGTTAGCATCGTGTACCATCATATCATCATCGTGGACTACATCAACATTATAAAAGTCAATATTTATCTCTATTAATCAAATAATTAAATTAATTATTTTCTCACATTAAATACCATTAAACCTTAAATATAAAGTATTTTTTAGAAAATTGAAAGACAGCTCGCTAAAAAGATCTTTACTAAGGAGAATAATCTTTTTCGAAATTAAATTTCGATTCACGGAAAAAATTATTACTAGATAACAATATTTTCTCAATAGTAGCATTTTTTATTTAAAAATTGTGGGAAATGCCATTACCTTCAAATTCTTAGGTATTAGACGATTCTCACTATTTTAGACAAGAATATCCTTAAATTAATGAATTGTTTCTATAATGATCATTCTCAATTCTTATTTTTTTGTACTTTACTCAAAATACGTAATAATAATATGCAAATTATTTAATTTAGTAAAATATTAATATATTTGAATATTTAAATTAATTTTATATTTTTAATATTCAATATAGTAATTATGAATAATTTTATGATGTGAAAAAAATAATATTATTGTACAAATATAATTATTTAAAATAATATATAACTTTAAGTCATTGAAAAATATATCTTATATATTAAAAAATAATATATTTGTCTACTCCATACCATAATATTATTTTTCTTCATATTTTATTAGATTTTATATAAATAAATATGATAATTTTGAAAATTATTTAGAAATATAAGTTTAATATATCAATTATATATTAAACGTATTTTCTCTCAAAAGTTAAAATATTTTTATAACGATTAGAATATTTTTATAAGTTTTCATTCAAATATTTAATATAATATTAAAATTTAACTTTAAAAAACATATATCACAAGTATAATTTAATAAAAATATGTATTTAAATGATTTTATATTTTTTAATCAAACCCTGTAATTATATATTTATCTTAAATAAATAAAATAATATAATATTTATATAATAATATTATATTCCAGTCATATTATTTTTAAAAATAATCTTACATTTGAAACGACCACCTTGAAACTTAAAATAGGTTAAATTACGTTTGAGGTAATAATATTGTAGAAACCTAAAACAATGGGGGTAGTAAGGGAAAAAACAAAGGAAAAAAACAAAGGGAAAAATATAAATAGAGAGAAAAAGAATGGAAATCCGCTGTTTGAAAACAAAACCCATAGATTTGTAAATGCAAGAGGGAAGTAGTATCTAAGACCATGGCCCCTGGTTTTCCATTCTCTCCATCAAATGCCAACTCTTTCTCTCACCTAATTTATTCTTCTTCTTCTTGTCCCCCTCCACTTTTTTTCTTCACCAAACACTTATAGAGTTGCATCTTTCACATCTCTACCCTCAATGGGAACAAATACCCCATCCTGAATTACTCCCCCCCAACATAGAGAAACAGTTTTTACCCGAGTTTTTTGTGTCCCCTGTTTCTTCTGTTCAACCCTCTGTTTTCATCTGTTCATCGATATATTTCTTGGTTCTCTTCATTTCTCGCTTCTCTTCATTTCTTGTTTATTTATTTCTTTACTCTTGTTTATGCCTATGGTAGAGTTGATTCAGAATTTTAAATGGGGAGAGCAACCGTAGCTGATATAAAGGGCAAAGGTTTTAGTGAATTGGATAAGGACACAAAAGCGAACAAAGTTCCCGATACCAATAAAATTAGAAACACTACTTCTTCAGATAGCCGAGGAAAGAAGAGCAGGCGGCGACAAAGGAAGATGATGGCGTTGCCTGCGTCTGCGGTGGTGCATCCGATTCAAAGGCTTTTCAATGCTTGCAAGGACGTTTTCGCCTCTGCCCGGACTGGATTTGTCCCTTCTCCCGATGAAATTGAACTGCTTAGCGCTCTTTTGGGTATGCTTTTTTGTTGTGGTTTTATTTGGAACAGTCCAAAAGTAGTTCCATCATACCAAGAAGTACATAAATCTCTTGATAGTCTAATATTGATTGAATTTTAGAATAATTAGGCATAAATTTCTGAAATTCGTTCGGCATTTGTTTTCTTGAACCATCTTTTCATATACATTTGACGAAATAACCATACACTTGAAAATGCCTGCATTCTCTCTCTCTAATATTATATTCATATTTATTACTATTATTTTCAAAGGGGTGACCCTTGGCAAGGAGCCATTAGCTTACCACCCTTCACCTATCTTTTTGTTTGTATATGAACATCTTATGATTCTGATATCATAAACTACTTGCTGTTACCTGTGTCACGTTATTCAAGACAAAAAACTGTAAAATAGATGTTGGGAAGTGTACCATTGCTGTTTGTTTTCTGATTTTCTTTTTAAATATTTGTGTTATGGGCCTTGCATATGGTTCGTGCTCCTTAGGTATGTGTGATTCAAACTCTTTCATCATGTATGCATTGGATACAAATATTGCAGCCAGCTTGGTTATTTGTATCTCTAGAAAATATAACTGATGAAGATGTTGCCAATGATTAGAAACTATATGGCCTTATTTAGATACTACTACTCATATGTTACCCTAACATTGCTTCTTTTTGTTCTTTTGTGTAGATGAAATTCGGCCAGCTGATGTTGGTCTTACGCCAGGGATGCCGTTTTTCAGTCCGCAAGCAACTCGACTAGCTCCGACGATAACATACCTGCATATCCACGAGTGCGAGAGGTTTTCAGTAAGTACAGTTTGCATCAAGAAATGCAAGCCATGCTTTGTGATTTAAGTAATGCTAGACTGTCTTATCATTACAAATTTTCATCTAATGCAGATTGGCATCTTTTGCTTGCCTTCATCCGGTGTCCTTCCGCTTCACAATCACCCTGGAATGACGGTTTTCAGTAAGCTTCTCTTTGGGACTATGCACATCAAATCATATGATTGGTTTGTCCCTACCACATCAGCTGTTGTGGATCCTTCCCAAAGTAAGTGTTTTTCTTTTTCAAGCTTATTTTTCTCCTTGCACTTGTGTGTTTATATATCCATTTTCGACGTAAAAAGCTGGGAATGTAGAGGGTGGGACTCTAGAAAAGACAATGATCAACTTCATAATCTGGTTTCAGTGGCAAATGGAAATGATAATTTAAGAAAATGGAAAGCCTCACGGATTGCCATTGGTTAGGCTCCATACTCTTAGAATGCAGTACATGTAGATATTTTCTATGTTTAAGTTGTATTATTGATGAGAGAATCATCCTTGATGTACATGTAGAGAAATTATCGAGACCAATTTTGTTCATGTAATGGCAGCTCAACATCCGGAAGTCCGGTTGGCTAAGGTTAAGGTGGATTCCGACTTGACTGCGCCTTGCAAGACCTCCATACTTTATCCAGCTGATGGAGGCAACATGCATTGCTTCACTGCTGTGACAGCTTGTGCTGTGTTGGATGTTCTAGGCCCTCCGTATTCGGATCTCGAAGGACGGCATTGTACGTACTACTCCGACTACCCATTCACGAGATTCCCAGGTACTCTTTTTTTCCTCTACTTGTCCTTCCAATAACATTTGATTAGTAAAATTAAAGACTGAATTTTTCATTAAATTTTTTTTGTTGCAGCTGATGAGCAGGTATTAATACCAGAAGAAGAGAAAGAGAAGGTAGCTTGGCTTCAAAAGAGGGACAAACCTGAGGATTTGGTGGTTGTTGGAGCTCCATATACTGGTCCCGAAATTATGGAAGGATAATCTCAAAGCCCTCATCACATCTCTTGTAATACCCCACAAAAAAAAATCATTTTCTTATCCTTGTTGTCCTGTCAGTGGCTGCTGTTTCAGCTTTAGAAACTTCTATTTTCCTTGTTTTTTCCATCCCCTCCTAGTAGGACATGTGTATTTTTTTTCTTTTCTTAAAGTTTTATTTTTTGTATATAAAAGGGAAAAAAAGGCGGCAAAACTGTTGTGAGTGCACCGGATGAAGTTTGTAGGTGAATGAAAAAAATGTTAAAAAGTGCACTGTTATATCATATGGCTCCCCTTTCTTTATCCATCTCATTCCTTCATATTTCCCTCATTCTGTCATATTGTAAATGAACTCCATATGTCGAGAATTATAATGGAGGAGTTAGTTTTTTTTACCCTTTTAGTATTAGCATAAAATAACATATCACATGAATTAAGTGACATCGGTAGTAAAAGAATTATTAATTTTTCTTAAGGTCTTAAATTGGTGCATCAAAGATATCATATGAGCAATAAAAGTTAAATGATTAAGAATATTCTTTAAACATATTATCTTATATCTACTATAGATTAATAAAAAATAAATAAAATAACATATGATATTTATGATATCATGAGTGCATTAAATACCCAAAAATAATTTAAGGGTCTATTTGGTTCTATAATTTTTTTTTTCTATCTTTGTTTTTAAAAAATATTTTCATTTTTTTTAAAATTTAGAAATATGTTTGGTTAATATAAATGAAAACTTGAATCCAAAACTAAATTGCTAAAAAAATATTTGGTATCTAATTTTTTAAAAATAAAATAAAAAAATAGTTTTTAAATAATTAAATTAGATTATAATTATTAAAAAATCATTAAACAAATTTAACATATGAATTATACAAATATAAAACAATATAGTTGATAAAAAATTCCATAACACAATTTATTCGAGTTTATAATAAGAATATAATGTTAATGTATATTAGATATTAATAAAATTTTAAAAATATACAAAAAGACTATTATAAGTAATAGCACACAAAAGTATCATTAACATAAAAAAATATGTTTAGTTGTAACCGAGACCCTTAAACTTTTGGGAAAAATAATTAATGTAGTCCATGAACTCTTTTTGCACCAAATGTGATCGTTAAACTTAGATAAAAATAATTTAACTCTTTGAACAAAAGAAATCAAACGTTGACTGTCACGACGCTTACATGACAGTTCACAAACTTATATGGCAATTTACAATAGAGAAAATAACCTCAGTGACCAAAAATCCCATATAATATACGATTTTAACCAACCCTTTTCCAGATTTGCCAAAATGACCAACAAAATCGCAATGCGATCGCTAATTCGCAACGCGATCTCCATTATCGCAAATCAGTTTCCAGATTCGCAACGCGATTATGACTATCGCAATGCGATTTTCCAATTTCGTGTTGCGATTTTCCCAATTCGCAATGCGAATAAGTAAATCGCAATGCGAATTTGGAAAATCGCAATGCGATACTGACTATCGCAACGCGATAATACAAAATCGCAATGCGATACTGACTTTCGCAACGCGATTCTGACTTTCGCAACGAGATTCTGACTATCGCAACGAGATAATACAGAATCGCAATGCGATTTTCAAAGTTTGCAACAGGTTTTAGTTTCGCAACATCCTTCTAAGTGGGACATACCAGATGACTTACAAACAGTTTAGCCACCAGCCATGGACAGAAGGCTACCTGGCCGACCAAAAAGTCACGATCATATACCGTCTAAGGGTGAAGAGAAGAAGAGATCGACATGTAGTCGGTGCAAGGAAAGTGGTCATACAAGGTTGACATGTGGTTCACCAGTACCATCACAATCATCTTTTCCTCTACCAAAATATGGATCCTCATCAAAATCCAAAGCTCATATGGTGTCAAGCAAAAGGCAATCAAAATCGCAATCATCTTCAAAATCCCAATCATAACCGGCTTCACCCTTTGGGACTGTTAACTTAGGTGATTTTTAAATGCAAACGTTGTATTATGTGTATTTTATGTGTGCACTTTTAACATTTTCAGTTAGGCATGTATTAGTAACTTGAGTTTGAACATTGCTATGATCTGTTCAGTTGTTATCACTTATTAGACATTCATTTGACTATCGCAATCGCAACGCGAAAATGACTATCGCAACGCGAAAATGGCTATCGCAAAGCGAAAATGGCTATCGCAAAGCGAAAATGGCTATCGCAACGAGAAAATCGCAATGCGAAATGAAAATCGCATTGCTATTTTCTCGTTACGATTTTCATTTCGCATTGTGATTTTCATTTTGCATTGCGATTCTCTCATTGCGATAGTCAGTTTCGTGTTGCGATAGTCTGTTTTGCCTTCAACATAATGCAGATTGAAAATCAACAAATCAACTATTACATTTCAATCAATTAAACAAGCACAAATAAGAATTATGTACACATCAATTAAACAAATCAACATTTACAAATCATTTTTTACAAATCAATTAAACAATCAAAAAATAATAATAATTCTTATTTCCTCATCAATTATTGAATCAATGAATCAACTTTTGCACCCATACATCCATTTCACGCAGCTCACTTAAGGATTAACCTGCAGAAACCAAACATTTGCTCAAACAAGACTTCCTACACATCTAAAACCTACAAACAGCAAATTATTGAATTCTAGGTACTTAACCAAACATTTTCAAACCAAAAGGAGTGTATATATTAACAAAACTTGCATTTGACTTACCAATTAACAATGGATACTTTCATAATGCGGATGCAGGTAGGCAGCGTCTCGAATATATCGCTCTAGCCATATAATGCCAAAACCACAAGCCTACTGCAACTCTATCTCTATCGGTGGGAGGTAGAAACTCTGTGCTTCCCGTCGTCAAACGCGCCAAGCACATGCAGACGAGAGGACCACAATCCCCTCTGGCTCCCGACGATTGTTGTGGCGCGGTCTCGTCTCTGACAACTGTGACATTGAACTTCTTTGGCTTCTTGTGTCCAGAATGAGTCCAATAATTAATCCCATCCAAGAATTTAGCCAAATGAGAGCTCCATCCCTTGATAATATCTCTCAAATCAGACAGTGATATGTAATTTATCATGCTGTCATATACTATTATCTTCAGGGATGGGAGCTGAAGTTGGACGAGAAGCCAATGACGACGTTCCAAAACAGGGATAAACACCTGCAATCATAAGTAATAATTCATTTATTTGCGCACTTATTTATGAACACCTTTAAAAATTTTTAAAAATAAACACTAACCTTATCGACCTCCCACCATGTAGGATAAAGTTTAGCTTGTCCATTGCCCAACGAAAATGATTCATCTCGTTGATTCTTCAAGTGAACTGCGTGAAAAGCCACCGGCATTATTGTATATCGCGAATTTTTTTTATTTTTCCTAAGCTTCCTTATTATTAGAAGACGTGACACCCACGCATCGATATGCTGTTTTACAAAAAAAGACATATATTAGTGAATTACATTAATTTTTAAAAAAATTAATCAAAATCATATATAAGATAAATATAAGACTTACCTCCCCATCGAAATAGCCACTGTCTTCAACCCCTAATAACACACCCGACCAAGACCGATTAAGCAACAAATACATCTCATCGTTGAGTTTGCTTATGTCAGTGTAACACCCTTGGCTCCGCTCATGTAGATAAAAATCAACTACGGTCTTAGCCCAAAGGGTATTATCCAGAATTGTTTCCGGTAGTTGTCTCCTCTCCACTTCAGATACCGGAAGGGTACTAGCCGGTAACTCATATGAGAGCCAACTCTCATCCATCATGTCCGACAACGGTGGGGGTTTCTCAATAATTCGATATATTACCCCATGTGAATCGGGCTCTGGAATGGTGGGAGGGACCTCTTCAACGATGACAGTTGCCTCTTGAACGGTGGGGGGACTCTTGAGGGATGATAGGGGCCTCTTGAAAGATTGAAGGGGACTCTTGAGGGATGACAGGTGAGTCGGGCTTCTTCTTGCAGAGTCTTCGCACCATTGGAGTGAACGGAGACGTAATAGCACGCGCACGCCGTTTTGATGCGTGAACTCCGTCGTGCAAGGAAAACCCGACGTAAAGCATCCACCTTATCGGGCCGCTAAAAAAAATTAATACATAAATCAGTAAATAAATAGACATGATATTAAACAAAGACAAATATGTTTCAAACTTGCATTGTATTCACCCAAGTCATTATTCTATCATAGTTCACAAAATGCATCAGATAACATTCCAGAAGTAAGCACTTATATAAACATTTAAAAGGACAACATATATAAACATTCCAGAAGAAGAATAGTTTACTTTCGCAACACGAAACTTACTTTCGCAACGCGAAAATGATTATCGTAACGCGGAAATGGCTATCGCAACGCGAAATGAAAATCACAATGCGAAATGAAAATCGCAACGACAAAATCGCAATGTGAAATGAAAATCGCAACGACAAAATCGCAACGCGAAACACAAATCGCATTGCGATTTTCATTTCGCGTTGCGATTTTGTCGTTGCGATTTTCATTTCGCATTGCGATAGCCATTTCCGCGTTGCGATAGTCATTTTCGTGTTGCGAAAGTAAACTATTATTCTTCTGCAAATTGAAACTTGAATGGATTGCATTACTTCAACCAAAAGACAAAAACAAAACCAAAAACAAATACTAACAAAAACATTTTAGCAGTATCGGTAGCAACCGAATGAATTTATTAAGCAATCTAAGTGAAATGGTTAATCTAAGTGAAATTACGAGTAAATTTATCATCAAGTTAAATATGAAAAATCTTAAACTTACCTCGTTGCATAGAGTATGAACCTCATTATGCAATGATGCTACCATATCACGTATCAACACGCCATGCACCATCGTCTTTGCGTAAAGTACCGACCTCCTCACGCAAGGCATTGACCTCATCACGTAACTCCCCTAACTCATCCCGTGGAGGTGGAGAACAGGGAGATAAACGTCGCGGCATCTTTGCCGGTCGCCTATCTTGCGGTGATGGTAGAGAAGAGGCTCGATGATGTGACATAATAAGTGATGGCTGTCGTTATGGAGGTGTATAGTCGGGTCGATCAGGTGATGGCTCTGGGTGAGGTGATAGCTCTGGGTGAGGTGATGGCTCCCGAAGTGGAGGCTGCTCATCATCCGTGCCATCAAAAAAACGCTTACTAGCTTGCCACCAATCAGTGGCAAGCTCAGCTTCCGTGGGTGTCAGCCTCTGTAATGGAGTGTTGGCCTCCTAACA